CCTGGGCAACTTGGCAAGACCTCATCTCTACAATAAATCAAAAAATTAGCCAGGTGAGGTAGCGCACACCTGTAGTTCTGGCTACTTGGAAGGCTGACACGGAAGGATCGCCTGAGCCCAGCAGGTGGATGCTGGGGTGGCCGTGAGCATGCCACCATACTCCAGTCTAGGTAATAGAATGGACTCCAACTCAAAAAAAAAAAAGAAAAAGAAAAAAAAAAGAAAGGTTATGAACTACATAAAGGATAGTAGGGATGAGAACAGTTATAGCAGGAATCAAAATTTTATATTAATTGCAATTGATTATTCTGATGATTATATGGCTTTTTCCAAATATATTAGATGAACTGGAAAAGAGTGCTTTGATCAGCTAGCAAATATTTTACAGATGTGGTTCTCAAACACCACTGATTCTCCAAGTGTGGACCTGAACAGCAGCATCAGTATCACCTGGAAACTTGTTAGAGATGCCAATTAACAGCCTCACTCCAAAAATATTGAATCAGAAACTCCAGGATGAGGTCTTGTAATTTGTGGTTTAACAAGCTCATCAGGTGATTTTTGATTCACCTTAATATTGAAAAACCACTGGATCTCTGGTTTTTACAGATGAGGTTCCCAGGAGTTCAAGCAGCATAAATCAATTCACTCCTAGGGTTCATTATGTCATTAAAAGATGCTCAGCAACACATACTCATTTTTGTATGCCTGCTTGGTGCAGGGCAAAACAAAGTAAGCACTCAAGAAACACTTGAGATTAGAGTACATTCTGAATGTACCCGTGACTATGAACATACTGCTGCTTGCTCATCTAAGACTTCAAGGTGAAAGTATGTGTTGGTCAGGCTTGGTGGCTCAGCCTGTAATCCCAGCACTTTGGGAGGCCGAGGCGAGTGAATTGCCTGAGTCCGTGTGTTTGAGACCCACCTGGGCAACCTGGCGAGACCTCATCTCTACAATAAATCAAAAATTAGCCGGGCGTGGTAGCGCATGCCTGTAGTTCCAGTTCCTTGGAAGCCTGAGGTGAAAGAATCACCTGAGCCCAGCAGTCAGTGTGCCACTGCACTCCAGCCTGGGTAATGGAGTGAGACTCCAACTCAAAAAGAAAAAAGAAAAAAAAAAGAGAAAGTATAAGGGTCTTCTGAAATACAGTGAAAGTACAGATGAAATCTAACAGTCAAGGAGAAGAATTTACTGCTGCCTTCAGATAATAACTGCAAGTGTTTAAGAACTCATTTAAACCAGTAGAACATTATTCTGGCTCTATTCCACCATGCCACATTCATGGGATAGGCCATGTATGTAATGGATTATAAACATGCTAAAGCCACATACAAACTCACCACGCAGCTTTGCTGCCCACACACAGATGTATATATACATAATCCTCAGACATAGTAGTTCACACACACAGTCAACACCCAGAGCTAGAACCAAGCCCATTCTCACTTGTCTTGAGACCCATGACCAGGGCAAGAAAGAACAGGCTGGTGGGTTGTGTGCCAGGAGGAATTATTACCATCATTCTCCAGAGACCCAGGTGCACTGTTGTTAAAGATTTGGTCCACGTGATTCAATATGAACTCGATCACCACCTGCTGGACCCGAACAGCAAGGAAGGCTGCATCTCCATTACAATCAGTGGCTTCGATCTCTTTAGACCTACATTGTGGAAGAAACACACTCAGTGGGTGAGTCTGGCCCCTAACCTGAAGCAGCAAGTAGGCATGGTGGGCCTTTTGCACAAGCCCTATCTCCTACATATGTACAGTTCATAGGATATGTTAACGATTTGAGAGCAATTAAAAGGACTCTCCAAAGGCCGTGAAGCCCAATACACCGAACACATATTACAGTTACCAGGTGTATTTCCCCCTTCTCACTACCGCACTTGACTAGTCCAAAAAAAGAAGTTACCAGGTGTTATACATTTCAAGACTCTAAACACTGACCTATAAATATTTAAAAATTGATGTTTGTTTTCTTCATAACATCCCCTTCCACTATCAACCAATTGTTCTATGAGTCAGGTCACTTATGATGTCATATGAAGCAGCTAATTCTGGTGATAGCCAGCTGTGATCTCACCAAAACCAAGAAAAGTCAGTGAGCCGCAGAGATGAGAAAGGCCTTTCCAAGAAATTGTAACATACAGTCACATTGAAGCTATAGCCAAAATGCAGTTTCCAAGTTAACAGGCAAAGAGCTTAGGCTATTAAAATCACCTTTAATTTGTACGTGATACCAATGACTACTGGGCTACAGCTTGTTTTAAAGGTGCTTCAATTTTAAAGAATCCAGTCTTCATTTACTTGCGGGACTGCTTTGAAAGAAGTTGAGGATGTGGTGGTTACCTGAGCAAGTTTGGCGCCCACACCAGGGCCAGGTTCTTGGCGTGCATGTTGGTCTTGTTGCTGAAGGAGGCAATGTGGGCCAGGTGTCGAATCAGGTATTCCAAGGTCCTGGAATGGTTCGTTTTATGACAAAGTAAGAAACTAGAGTGCCTGTGTGAAGCCTGCCATCTTCATATAATTTCTAAGTTTGGATTTAAGAGACTCTAGATATTTCTATCTTATGAATTTTGCAGGAATATGGGGAAGATATCAAGATTGATGGAAGTAATTTTCTTGGCCCTGTGCATGCTGGCCCAGGGTAGGGAAGGGGATTGGCCTTGTCAGAAGTCCACTGAGACTGATGGAGTAGCACCCAGAGATGGAACCAGGGAATCACAGCACCTCAGAGCCAAAGCATTCTTACTGGCCACTTGTTCCTCCTTTCAACCAAGGCAGAATTGCTTCCACGGAGTCTTGAAATAGGCTCTCCTCTAGGTTCATTTTAATAAAAATTATTCCAGCTACAGGGAACTTGGTACTTGTTAGGAAGCTCACTTCATGGAAGAACAACATTTATGCTTGCTAGAAAGTTCTTATACCTCATCAAAATCACACCTTGTAAAAGATGGGCAGGCATAGGGAACACTGGGAAAGGTGATACAATTCAAGGCTAAACGGTGAGAATGAAACGAAAGGATGGGGATGATGGAAGGGATGGTGCTGATGAGCAAGCAGATCTACCAGCCAGATGCTCAAGGACTACAGTCCACTCTTGAATTAAAGTGATGTTGGTTTCCATAGATTTAGTGAAGCTATGACTCTAGGTAAGAACCAGAGATGTCACCGAGAAGCTGGTTTGTGTGATTGGACTCTGAGGGGTGTCCTACAGGTGGCGTGGAGATAAACTGCCCTTTGCTGCCCTGGTCAGGAACCAACTCGCTTCGGTAATCGTGACCTGTCCACCAACTTTTAAATGCCACCAGGAAAGCCACTGTCCACTAAATTTGCTCCTTTTTATGATGCCAGCCTATGGTATCTTTGGTAACATTTTGGTATTACGCCACATTGAAAGGACACGTTTCTTTTTTCCCAAAGACTCTTACCTATAATGGGATGGGGGAAGCTCCTGGACAACATTTTGGATTCGGGCCAGTTGACCTTCTTTTGGGCAATGCGACACGGCCTCCTGTGGAGAACATGAAGCGTCACAGTGAGTACTTGAGAGCGGGGATACTCACCTGCCCTTGTACTCCAGCCTCACAGCGATGCCTAGAGATCACTTTCCAAGGGGCATGCTTTTCTATGAAAACAACCAACCCACTACAATTTCTGAGGGTTCATGACATGAAGTGTCTCACAGTGTGTACGCATAGGGACAGGTGGGCTTCGTGGGTCTCTGTGCATCCCGAGGTGGTCGTTAGGTATCTGGTCAAGAATATGTAGAATCTTGGGTGTGTGTCTCATATGGCAGAGAGTCACAGAGACTCACACCTGGAGAGATAAAGAGACAGACAGGATGAGACAGATGACAGGGTGGCATTATGTCTACTCGGCCAGCTGTCTTTGTGGGTACAAACAGTCACTCCTGACATTGCATGATCTCAAGTACTCAGCTGCTGCCTGTCCTAGATGCCAGGAAGCAGGAAAAATGTGCCTTCCTCGGTAGGGATAAGAGTTTTGTCCCTGAGACCTGGTGGTCTTGCCCAGACTTGCTTTCTGTTTATATTCTGTGTGGGTATTTTGTTCCCATCAAGGAGAGGCAGGAACAGCAATAAAGGCAGTTAGATCACAGACTGGCCCACGTCCATCTCTCGCCCGCTGGAGGTTTTTTTCTGTATGACGCAGGCATCCCTGGGCAGATTCCCCTGATCTCAACTCCTGTCCCAAGACTCTGTCCTGCCTGGGGGCCCTGAGCATCTGAGCAGTACCTGAGTCCAAGGTCAATGGCAATCACATCTATCTTTTTTCACAGAGATATAATTTATACATATTAAAAATACTGTATACAGATTTTAAGCTATAGCCCCCATGAGTTTTTTTCACATGGATAATCCACCTAGATCAAGATATACTTTTTTTTGGCTTTAAATTTTATTATTGAGTAGATACTAGAGGAACAGGGTTCCTAAATAAAACAATAGGAAGTTTTATTTTGTAGGCTTTTCTTATTTCTGCCAAGTCCACTTCCGAGTTCTCTTATCTTGTCTAATCTCCCATGCGCTCCCTTTAATCTTGCCTTCTTTCTTTAATCTTTTTATTTTTTTCTCCTATCTCTTTCTTAAATTTTTACCAGCTTGAGTTTTACGTATCTCTTCTTATTGTCCAAACATCCCTTCCTTAAGTTCCTTTATCTTCTCTTCAGATTCTTCTTTCATAGCAATCACTGCCTATATTTATCTAAGCCTATGGTGAAATGTCAGGTTACAATTTTTATATGCTCCATTGTGATTTTTTTTGAGAATGTTTTTCATTTATTAGTGAGTTGTGAAGATATACTTTTAAAAGGGGCTCTAAGATCTTGAATTGACAGGTATGTGTGAAGTAGTCTTGTATTTTCTCCTAGTGCTGGAAACTTACTATACATGTGTATATAATGAAAGGTATGATCATAAAATACATTGTTTAATTTGATGAATGCTGCCCCCTGCAATACACACAAAAATACGATCCTAAATGTGGTCATAGTTTTCTTATATTGTTCACCTCTGTTTGGTCTTTGGCCATCATTTGCTTGCTTGTATAAGTTCTGAAGTTCCTGCTCTCAGTAATGACTTTCTAGATACAGAAAAGTGGAAGAGAATTCATTTTACTGAGCACCTTCAGTTCGCAGGCCACACCTGCTGTGTACATTCTGTTCTACCTTAGAGGAGAACACTGAGGTACTGCCCAGCCTGAACCTCGCAATGCCTCTCACTTTTTCCATGGTAACTGATCATACCTTTCATTTCCCCACCATGAACAATGCTATATAATGTACTTATCTATTAGGGTTATTGTTTATTGTTTGCCTCGCTAGAACATAAGCTCTGTAAGTGCAGGGATATGATGAGCCCCCCTGTCCAGAACAATTCCTGGCACACAGCAGATGCTCATCACACCGGACATCGTGCTGGGGCTTTGTCTACCAAGTTTTTTTCTTTTTTTACCTTTTCTTATTTACTTGAAGTAAAGCATATGTACAGAAGCCCACCGTTTTTAAAGGCAACGAAAATTCTCTATGTGGAAAATCTGAGGTCTTGGGTTCTAAGGAGAAGTGGGGAGAAATGTGGGACTGGGAATATCATGGTCACAGATGTCCCAGTCTTGTAGTGAACTTGCTAGCCTGACAGCAGACACAGCCTAAGCATAAGCAAGACCACTGCTGAAACCTTTGCTTTATAAGATACACAGGGCCATGTGCTCTTTGAGCAATGGCTGTCGCCAGGCTTCCTGGCTTTGGCCCCCTCCCCTACCTTGGGGAGATGAATCTTCTCTCTCCTTTCTCTAATTTACTTTTTTTTTTTTTTTTGAGTTGGAGTCTCACTCTGTTGCCCAGACTAGAGGGCAGTGGCACGCTCCTGACCACCGCAGCCTCGACTTGCTAGGCTCCGGCCATCCTTCCCCCTCAGTCTTCCAGGTAGCTGGAACTATAGGCACACACTACCACGCCTGGCTAATTTTTTGGTTTATAGTAGAGATGAGGTCTCGCCAAGTTGCACAGGTGGGTCTCGAATCCACTCGCCTCAGCCTCCCAAAGTGCTGGGATTACAGGCTGAGCCACTGAGCCCGGCCTCTAATTTATTTTAAAATATGCTTTTCTTTCTTTGCCAAAAATAAAACATAAAAAAAGATATGCAGGATGTAGGATGGGGGCAAGAATGGGACCTCCAGTAAAGCGCCTTTGGTCTTTACCCTGGAGATATCATTTAGAAAACAGGATTGTGGAGAGGGCCCTGGTTTTGCAAGCCAGGGAGAACCTCACAAGAGGAAGCAAGGGAAAGAAGCTGGGGGGGGTGCGCTACAGAATGCAGTGTGGACCCCACCTACATTCTATTGTGCACCCAAGGATGGGGTGGGGAGGCCTCCCTTCATCTCTCTGCAAAACCAGGACCTCATTTCCTAAAGCTATGTACCACCAACCCCTCCCCCTTTTAAAAAATGTGTCTGGGAATAAAGGTGTAGGTCAATTTAACAGGCCTCATGGAAAGTTCCTTTAATATTTTAGGAAGCTGTTAGTCATCTTTGTTCTCTGAGAGGCGGGGCAGGCTCACTCTCTAAGACCTGCAGTTCCCATTTGGGATTAGCATTCATTTCGTTATTTACAACCTCTCCTCAACCTACCCCGAATCTCTTCAGAAGCTCTCTAAATCTTCACGTTTCTCCTGGAGGGGTCTGGCCACTGCAGACTTATTTTTAGCTTATGTTCACCCATGAGGACAGCAGAACCCAAGGTTGGGCGATTGGGTGGGAGGTGAAAGTTTACTCACCCCAATTTTTGCCTATAGGAGAATTTCACTCAATATTAGCCAGGCCAATACGGCTAATGGTTGAGAAATGAGAATAAAATTCTAAAACCCCCCAACCAACTGAACGGGCGGACGTCTCTTGACCAAGGAGGCCCCAGGGAAACCTTGGAAGCTGAGTTCTGGGCCAAGACAGACGGGAAGTCAGACACGCCTCGTTATACCCCCTCCCTGGCTAACCACCACTAAACTTTACTCCCTAGGGACTGACCAGAAACCAGCCCTTTCAAAAGACTCCACCGCTGACACCAACCAATCCCCTGAGCCTGCAACCCCTCTTTTGCCGGATAAGAGACCAGAGACCACGGAGGAGTCTGGCGAGTCTAGGGAGGATGCACAAGAGTTTTCAGCCCTTTGCTTCTCCTTTAGACGTCAGAGGGCTGAAAACCCCGCCCTCGGATCACGCTAGCGCCCCCACTTTTTGAACATGGGTTCCATGGAACAAGAGGCATGAAGTTCGAGTGCGCATGCGCATGCTTCCCCTTTCATAAAGACGCACGACCCCTCCTATGGCTCATTGAATATGTATGTTTGGCCACCCCACTTAGCCTAACTTCCTGCTCCCTTCACCCCCTCGAGGTGTCTGTTTCCAGGTGGGAGGCTACCCTTCCCAGCCGGTCAGAAGGCCGCAACGCTTTATGAGAAATAAAGCTCCTTCTTTCCAGATTTATGAACCTCGACATTCTTCGGTTGGCATCATTAAATCTTAGAAGACCAAGGATGAACCTGGGACTATTTGCTCTCTTCAAATTAGTATCGAGCAGGGCGCATTGGCTCAAGCCTGTAATCCCAGCACGTTGAGAGGCCGAGGCGAGAGGATTGCCTGAGCTGAGGGCTTCGAGACCAGCCTGGGCAACATGGCGAGACCTCGTCTCTACAATAAGTCAAAAAATTAGCCCGGCGTGGTAGTGCACGCCTGCAGTTCCAGCTACTTGGAAGGCTGAGGCAGAAGGAGCGTCTGAGCCCAGTAGATCGAGGCCGTGAGCATGCCACTGCACTCCATCCTGGGCGACAGAAAGACTCCAACTCGAAAGAAAAAAGCCCAAAGATCTTCCTGCTCTTTTAGGACTCTGGCAAAGGCTGTGGGTCAAACCCTCACTCTGGGTCCCTGCAGCTCAAGTGCTGCTGCCCGGACAGTCCTGTCACCAGGGCGGCCCAACACAAACCATCAGAGGTTCTCCTACTGCTCCCCAGCTACAACTTTAATTTTGTATTAGCTACTTTAAAAATTGTTATAAAACCATTTTTATTCTTTTAAATTATTTAAGCGATTAACTTGATTTTTAAAGAGTAATTCATGCACATGATTTAAAAAATATAAAAAAGCAAAATCAAAAAAGCACAGAGGAAAGTTAGTTTTCCTTCCAACCGCAGTCTGTCTCCAGAGGAGCCACTATGTGTCCTTCGGGACTGACTTTATACATATGTCTTTGTTACACCTGAGAAAGCAAGCACTACTAAGTGATCTGGTCCATCTACAAATCACCTTGCTTCATCTCCTGTCATTTCCTCCCAGTTTGCTCCTGTTGGCCACACTGACCTTCACATGTTCCCTCACATAAATTCGGCATATCCTCCCCTCCCCGCTCTCAGGGCCTTTGCACCTGTGTTTCTTCTTGGCATCCTCTTTTCCCAGATACTGGCACAATTCCCCCCCCCCCCCCCCCCCCGCCGCTTCATCCTT